TGTGTGTGTGTGTGTGTGTGTGTGTGTGTGTGTGTGTGTGGAGGAAAAATGCCCCAGATACCATACACTACCACAATACACTTCCTCACTTCCGTCGAACATCAGTGGCAAGCGAGACATCACCTGCAACGCATTTCCCCACATGGATCCTCCGAGCAGTGACATGAAAGGGAGAACTCTGCAAACCTATCTGTACGAGCTCGTTAGAGAAGGCTAATTGAAGCCGAGGTCCAGAACGGCGATTAAATAGCAATGGCCGGGGTTATTTTGATGCTCCGCCACACATGAGCTGGTCTCGCTGCCGCGGGGGAGGCGGGGAGGACACGAGGCTGCGGCCCGAGTTCAGCTACTTTGCTGCAAAGCCAAGAAAGTGTCTCCCTCCTCACCTGAGATCACACTTCCCGAGGAGGCATCGAAGACGGCAAGAAGTAACACGGAATAATTACAAACATCTGCTTCTGAGGAATTGAAAAGCAAATGCCCCCGACGTCTAGAAATATTCGTATTTGGTGCGCATGTGTGAGGCAAACTGCAAAGCTTGGGACTGAAAAATAAATATTTATCAGTCCTTTATCAGTCCCTCTGCTGTCTCTGACACATGATGTACAAGTAGTTCAAATAAAAGCACAAAAGCTCCGTAAACTATGCACACTTTGCTGGTGAACAAAGATTTTGTTCCTTTGTATTTCATCCAAGACCATCTCTGAAGGTCGGAGCAAAGCTGCACAGAGGAAAAAAAGACGATATCTTCATCACAGGTCAGTGATGACTCAGGAGCTCCCTCACACTGCCCCCTATGTTCAGGGTGACAGGAAGTCATCTAATGGCAACATTGAGGCTATCTTCCAACAGATCCAGATGTTGATAATAATGTTCAGATCAGAGTTTGTTTTGTTCCGTTATGCGTTTCATTTCAGCGTCCATACCAACAGTTGCTGCCTTTGAAGAATGAAGACTACATTAGCGGACTGCGCGTCTCATTCTCGCTACGATTGACGGACAAAAAGATTGACAGGAAAGGAGCAAAAAAAGGCAAAGCCGTGAAACATTAGCGCTCATTCCTGTGGTCATTCTCACCAGAGAACTGTGAAAACACTGAGAGAAAATACGACAATGTGTTTTATAAGACTGATGTTAGCTCATCTGTCAAAACGATTCCACAGTGTCATTGTTCAGTTGCAGTGCGTAGCAGAGACTGTATCGTATAGATAAAAGCTTATTATATTAAAACTGTCCTTCAAAAAAAAAAACATGTAAAAACAGGAATCCATGAAAAGGAGAATAACACAACAGTGAGATTAGCTGTCTTTAAGAACCAATCCTCTGTTTTGAAGATTATGTAAAACGATGTCATTATTTCAAAATGATAATGATAAAACCCTCCAGTCTTGTATACGTCCAGGCCCTTTACTTTTAATCAGCGCTGTATGATGTTGCCGTTTGCATAGTAGCTCATTCAGTACATACTGCCTTTGCAGAAGGCAAGAAGCTGACATATTTGCAGCGGATGGCTGCTGCCTTCAAACAGGTAAAGACCGACCTTTCACGGTCTACCGCGACTGCCGCGTGGAATTCTAGCGATCGGAGAGAAAAAGAAGTAATTCGATTGTGACACCATTAGATTAATGGAGCTTCTGCTGTGTTGAGTAAGGCACGGTGGGAAATGATGGGGCAGGCATGAGAATAATGGAAAGAAATATGTTTATTCATGCTTTTTGTTGTTTCCGCAGCGTAACGCTTGAGTCATCCGCAGTGCTGTCACGTGTAAGATTAGAAGGTTTCTTTCTTTGGCACCATCTTATGGTATCGTCACCACGAAACCTGTGGAAATGATCAGCCAAAGACAAATCAATTCCACCGAAAATGTATTTTTAGATCGCCCAGACCTGTTTTCCAGTGTAGTTTTCTTGCAACACAATTCAAGAGACAGATAGAAGACAAGGCTTTGAGTCACCTGAATGAAATCGGTACTTGACCGTCTACTGACCTACCACAACATCCCAAGTATATACAAAGTAATATCAATATACTTCTATGATTGAAAAGTTTTAGTGTCGCCCACTGCTGGCGAGCATATCTCCATACAACTTAAAATCGACCCCCTTTACTCCGTCCGTGTGCATATTTGGGGATTTTTTTACAGCATGAATGCAAAAGTCATTTCTGCCTCTGGAGACCATAACTCGGCAAGAATCATGTCATGTCTGTGCAGCCTTTGTAGGACGAAGACAGCTCAAATTATCGTGGCCATCTGACTCCCATCTGGGTCTATTTGCACTAATCACCATCAGCCAGAGAGGGACCCCTATGGTGCTCCTAATGTTGAAGACCCTTGAAGGGGAGCAGGAATGCCACCCACCAGTTAGAAACCCTGGTATTTTCTTGAGAAAGGGTCAATGGGGTCTTTTTATTTTTTATTTTAAAACGGATAAACACACACACAAACAAAATGTGTGGATCAACTTTAGGCCTCCATCCGTGGAAAAACAATCAGCAGAGCACTACTTTGTGAGAGTTTAGGCCAAAGGTTGAGGTCCAAATTGCCGGAGATCAGTTCGGGTTACGGGTTAGCAATTTAGTGGATGAACCAAAGAGCCGGCTGTGTTGACGCAGTGACGGCAAACAGAAGATGTACCCTGAAACCAGGTCAGATTTCCATTCCTTGTTTCAGTTCTGAAAGCACCGCTCTTCACCTGGGAAGTCAACAACTATCAGCCCACAACAAATGCATCTGAAACTGAAAATACATCTGAAACAAAAAGTGCCACAAACGTTGCGGTTCTTTCGTGGCAGTTTGGCAGCCAGCACACGTGGTGGTGGTGATGGTGACGATTGTTTCATTTCCCAGAGCCTCCTTGCCGTGTATTTGCTAAACTCTGTGCAAAGTTTGAGTGGTTGTATTCCTTGTGTGAAGCAGACTGTGCCTAATATGTCCTGCAGTGCTGCAGTCACTCTGCTGGTGTGTTACGGCCCTGGAAGTGTTGTGCTTGTTCCTCGGAAGCCGATACACTGGTACGTACCCTCAGTGGGATTACTCGCTCTGCATACCCAAATAAGGCAAGAGCTCCCCCGTTCGTCCGTCTGACGTTCTCAGACGTGAAGCGCAGTAACTGGAAGGGTCAGACAGCCTGCGGATCTCTCCAGATTCTCGGAACAGTGGAAAGTTGCTCTGCCACTCGTGATGTCTGCCTTTTATCTCACTCTGGTTTGGGCTAATGTTCAGCTGGGGGGTGGGGGTGGGGGGATGGGCCGTAGGAGGAGAGCCATTAGGAGGAAGTGGTCGGAGGAAATAAGAGGTAGTGGGAGTGACGAGGGCTGTGGCTTTTAAGAAACCATTTTATAAACATAGAGAGTCGGCGCAATAACGCTGAGATGGTGGAGTGAGAGAAAGAGATGGCAGCAGAATGTGCCGTTTCATTACGGTAGATACATGTGATGGTTGAGACATGAAGCGACAATGGTTATTTAGTCTGGGGCAGTAAAAAAAAAGAAAAAAAAGGGAGAGTGATTGATGTTCACACCTCAGCACCGAGAAGTGCAGTAAAAATGACTACTTTTGCAGACCGGTGGCTGTCAGGTCCTGTTAAATAAATCAAGACGGATGAAGAGTAAGACTTTGAGGCTGGAATGTCCCTCACAGGGTGTGGGGGCTCTGAGCAAAGATGTGCAAATGATTCACAGAGTCCGGGCGAGGAGTTAGCAGTGGACTCAGAAACTCAGTGGGAGATCTGTGTAAAGGGCTCGAGTTCTACCATGTGTGATCTCATCAAGGGAGATGACCACAAACAAGCTGCTTGCGCTTTCATTTTATGCCTTTGCGTTGGCCGGGGAATGAAAGCATGGCTTGTAGCAAAAAGCCCACACTGTTCTTTGCAGTCCGACAACAAAGCCACTGTGGAACCACGACGCCTTCAAGCAGGCCTGTGCCGAAACCCCTACTGATATCAATCCAATATGGCTGAAAGGTTAGAAGAATGCGTAGAACAGGAGTACAGCAGACTGCACACTTACACTGACGATGTTTTTGAACTCACAAGTCTGTTAATATAGCACTCACAAACTGATGTCTTTGTTCATACCCCCCATCACTCTAATTATGACACTTCTTCTGGCAGTGTCATATTTGACTTTCAATTAATGATATACATACTGTGGTGGGGTGGGGGGGGGGTGTCAGAGTTATTGTGAATTCTCCTCCGCAATTCAGCAGCTAATTGCGCGTGCCGCGACGGCGGTCTCTTACCTTCGCAGCGCCGATTTGCTCCTTTCGAAATTTTTCCAGAGGAGTAATCAACACATCATCAGCGTTCTGAATCTGAAATGAGAAATAAGAAAAACAAATACAGACAAATGTCAGACAGAGATGTGATCTGACTAATTGTAACCTTCTGAACAATTCAAAACGACTTGTGGGACCCGGAAGATATCACAATTTTTTAATCTAGTAGTCATTCAGTTTTATTACAATGGTCTTGCTTTACCAGTGCGCCAGAAATTGTATGACACACAGGAAATTATAGCCCCGAGAATTATCCAGCCCGATGTCAAATACAGATGCATTGAGTCCAAACACAAGTGGAGGGTAGAGCGATCACATCCATTAATATCTCCTAAGCCTTTGACAATGAACAATGTGCTGCTGTGAGGTGCCCAGAATGAGCACGGCAGAGATAAGAGATAGAGTCCTCAACAACAGAAGAAAATGGAGCCGTTTTCTGTGAGCTGTGAAGCACCGGCGTCGTCAGACCTCGCTGAATTATGACACGGCACAGCAGACGAGGGAGCTCTGCAACTGCACCCTGCAATAAATTTAAATGTTTGAGGTACGTCCTCACATGTTGGTGACCACTCCCTTCTTGACTGGAGTAAAGAAAAAAAAAAGGTCTCTCCTGGAGCCTCCATCTTCTCATTCCAGACAGAAACAGATTAGGGGATATATATTGCGCCAATTACAGTCTGCGCCCAATCCTTTGAGAGTGAGGGTTTCGGGGAAAGGTGCCATTATAAAGGTGCTTCTGAATTTCCCCCGAAGATGGGCTTTCAGCCACTGAGATCAGATGACATCAGACCGGCTGGGGCTGCTCTACGGGAGGCACCGTCACAAGCGACACGGCTCTTTGGTTGATTTAAGGTGTCATTCTGTGTGCTGAGTGCATGTGATAAACTAAAAGGGCTGAGCTCCATAATACATCTATGATACCAGCACTAATTTAGAGGTGTCGGCTCAGACGGACTGTCAGCTTCCCTGCTACAGTCCTCCGAACACACACACCGTCTCGGGATTGAGTTTTTTTTTGAGCCATTAATCACGGCGCATTTTCGTTGTCCCAAAATAACCCTGTCAGCTCCATCACCCAACCAGAACGAGTGGCTTCAAAAGGGAAGCTACGATCTCTCTGAAGCCCGCAATGTCTCCATCTCCATCTCGCATGCAGTGTTGTGGGATGTCGTGCGCTTGAAGTGTAAACTCCTAGCTTTGGTGTGATAATGTACTTTAATTACACCTTGGTATTTTGTGGTCCTTCAAATATAGACGTTTCACACATTCCGATTACGGTAGTTACACTGTTTTACAATTGCAAATATTTTCGCTCTAGTGCTGTACACTACGTTTACTCTAAACTGAGATTCCACACATCGTGAATCATCGTTCTGCGCCATCACTGAAGGGTGCAATGTTGCATAATGATCATTTGTACATTAAGAGAAGGCCAAGAATTGAGCAAAAAGTAGTGCACAAGCAAACTGTTTTTTGTTCCATTTTGATCATTTTGATCAGGCATACATTTGAAAACAAATGAACCAAAAACTAAAGTGTTAGGTGAGTAAAGTCAAATCCTGCTGAAATGATTCATTGATTAATTTAATTGTGATAACTGTCAATAACTGTCAAGTAGAAATACCAAAAATGTGTTTCATATCACTGATATGAAACACATTGTATTACATTATATTGCATTACTGGTTGTATTGTCTGTTGGTCACACTTAATATTGTTAGTTTTTGTCACTTTGACAACTACAGAATAGTCATTGGACTAATAGAAAAATAACTAACTGAAAAAGCGCACTCAGCGAGTTGAATCTCAATTGTCCCTCCCGGCTCCCGTACGGTCAAGATGGCGGCGAATATAACAAAAAGTGGGCTCTTGAGTCGTGCCTAACTTTAGTAGATCGTACCATATCGGTTATGGAATTGATCTGCAGATGCTCTGGTTCAAAATGAGACAAAACTTTTCGATGGATGAGCGACGACAAAGGCCAAAATGTGGCCGGCAACAGACCGGGTAAGGCTTGTTTTTAGCCAGAAATGCATTTTGCTACAGAAGCACATGGGGATCACTTGCGGTTAAGAGGAGTGGGGAGTCAGCAGTCAATGACGATACAAAACAATCAATACAAAATTGTGAATCACCACAACCACAAGAGGTCTTTGAGCACAGTCATAAATTATCACAAAACAATATCTGGCTGATGGGTCCAGTCGTATGCGAGATCAGCCGTGGACGGACAGGCAGATGCACACACACACGCACGCACAAACACACGGCTGATCTTCCCACCGGGATTAATTAATTAACTAATTAACAATTAGTTACAGCCCTAGCGTAGAAAGTGTCAATTAGAACTAAATCTGCAGAGTGCGTCTTCGATGACTTATAGGACGACACTCTCTACTCACACTAATTATAACTTAAGATGAGGTCACGTGCAAGACGAAGCGCAAAAGAGGAAAGAATTTCTAAAAAATTATGAAGAAAAATATATTTGATGAAATATGAAATATGAAATAATTCGGGGTTGTGTTTAAATTGGGACGCCACCAAGTGTCCCAATGAGTGGAACATCATCTTTAACCTTTGCTTACCTTTGTTTCTTGTTATACATTTGAATGCAAAATTGCAGAAATGACTCCACATACAACGTAATACAACCTGTGTTATTGGCCGTCGCAAGATGGGGTTTAAAGGCATTGAAAAAGCAAAAGGAAGACAATGACAATGACAATAACCTAAGGCAATTTGGTTACAAGTGACACCCCATTAGGAGCATGGAGGGCATTTGACGGTCATCAAATCTAGCAGATATAATCCACCAGTCATATGGAAGTCATCGTGTTATCTACTGTGTCAACAGCAAGAATCATACGACTCTGCCAGAGTGATAATGTAATTCCCTCTGTCTTATCTCCCATGCTTTCAGTCTAATTGAGCCTGCAGCGTTACCGAGCTTTAAATGTAGATTTCCAATCCACGCCGTACTTTTTCTCATTTTCAGTTCAATGGACAGGCCGATTAAATACACAGCACTGAAAGCCTGGGGGATTATGATCTAATATTTAGGATTGAATGAAAGCAAGTTAGTTCAATTAATTCAGTTTACCGGTACCTGAAATCTGCATGCGTAACATTTGGATGTTTCAGAACCACGATCAGGCTTAAATTTACACTTTAACTTTAAATTGTTCATTTCAAATGGATTAACAGCACGGTGCTGGTCGGGGAAATTAGTGCACATCACATCCAAACCAATGCAGAACGCAGACAATCAGCGTGTCAAGATTCAAGAGGCTCAAGATTTCAGATCACTTAATTTCCTATAAACCAATTCAGATTCGCATATTCAAAGAGACCAACTTATTCAAGACTCAATGGATCATTTCAAACCGGCATTGTGCCGAACGCCCTCAGCAACCGCCTCTCTAAACAGGATTTAATCCACATGAAGGAGCACAGTGTGCTGCTTGAAAGGATGCAATAGTGCTCAGCAATTTCAATCCAAGATATGGGGGAGGAATGTCAATGTGCTATATTCCCCTTGCTCCTTTGCTTTTACCCGTCCGAATATCAAGTGTCGCTCTGAGGTTAACTTGCGGAGACAGATCAGGATGACACCAAGGCCAAGTCAAATCGAATCGTGAAAAGTGTGCTAATCGAAATTTCCCTTTTGATATCTTTAGGATTAGTTTGAATGTGAATATCTACTCCAAACAGTTTGGAACAACAACTAGTCGTCTCTGCCTCCGTCTATCCGTGAGAAATGCACTGATGTCTGTGTTGAACCTGTTTTTTCACAGCTTTTCCAACACATTCGGCACATTCTGTGAACAGCATCTATCCACGTCTGCCTCGCAGAGGAGCCTACAGATAACCGTCGCCCAGGCGATCGGTTCATCACTTCAGTGTGCTCACAAAGCGCTGCGAGGACAGAATCATGTTGTGTGTTCTGTAAATGTTGACGATATATATACACAATCATATTGTGTTTCAGATCTATTGAAAATGCCTTTTGAGTGCACACACTGTAGGTTGTACGTGTCAAGATTAATTCCGTGGGGATGCGTTTGTGCAATCCCGTTCTTATACGCCTGTAGGTTATAATCATCACAGCATTTAACTGTGAACGGCTCCGCCTCACTGGGTCCAGTATGTACGTCTATAACTGAGTAGTAAATAACTTTTATAGGCTTTTTTGCCCGGTCTGTTTTGACAATGTCCTCACAATGAAAAGTCAGCTTAATGCACCTAAAGCCCTGCTGCCTCACTGCAAATCAACTGAATCTCTTTCTATATGTGTACACACACACACACACACACCAGTCCTGCTATTTTTTGCTGGTTGAAGAGGCGTCATAAAAGCTTGCTCGGTCACCATGCTGCATTCAAATGAAAATAATTTTTTTTTTTTTTTTTTTTTACTGTTTGGCCATCTCACTCTCGCATACAATATCCGAGCAAATGTGAATCCAGGCAGAGTAGAGAGTTCTGGAAAAAGGCAAGTCTGTGTTTTACATTTAAAATCTGCCAACTATGACACTTCAGTATCTGCCAATTGTGATGAACATGAACCAACGCTATACGATTGAATATATCCGATTATTAATTATTATTATTAAATAATAGAAACAGCCATATCATCAAGTCGTTTTTTGTTGGTGTCTGTTGGTTTTGAAGTAGAGTGAGTAAATGAAGTGATGAGGAGTCAAGAGGTTACCAAACACCAATACTTAGCCTCTGCAAAGACTGATAGAGGCTGAAGCGATATTTGTTCTGAATGTGGGCATTGTTCAGGTGGGGTCAACCTCACACACATCTGCCGTTTGTTGAGGCGGCGAATTTGCCCGTCAAAGTTCACCTGAGTTTAACTCCACGCGATGCCAAGATGCCAATTTGCTTTGCCAGCGAATGTTTTATTCCCTTTCACTCGCATAGGTTGCATTCACGTTAAATCAGGCATTGGGGCGGTTTACACTGGACGCTTTTAAATTCATTTGTGTGACTGCACTTGGAACATCACGTCACACTGAGTTTCAGTC